GGCAACTGGCGAATCTGGGCAAAAACGGATGGGACTCTTGAAATGCTCTTGTTTTAAGCTTTTGGGAGAATCGAGCAGATCTGCCAACTTCCGGTTGACCCTGACGGCTTCCAGTTTTTGTCATTGCTGCCTGTGTTTAGTTCGAACGTGTTGGGTGCTTCTCTGATGCTCACGTCTGACTCGAAATCCTGGACAAGTTAATTGCGAGCTCACCAGGGGACAACAAGAGTGGTTCTTCCCAGCTCTTTGTCGGGATGGGAGTTTTTTGTCCTTGCTGGTGAGCAGATAGTTGTACCTGGAATCTCTTTTCCACTCTCGAAAACAAGCTTGATCATGCCCTCTGAGTTGTGGGGGAACTTCATCATGTTCAAGGGGCCTTGGAAGCTGGACATTTGCAAGGTTGAGACAACCTAGTTTAACCATGCCAACTATAGCACCCTTAAAAGGGAAGCACGGACAAGTTGATGTTGTAACAACTGTTTAGACCTGCTTGAGATTCGTTGGGTGGCCCGCTTGAGCCGAAGGCTCGGTTTGTGTTAGGCGCCTGCTGCGGCCACTTTCTGCCCTTCCGGCGCGTGGCGGTGGTTTTGCGGACCCGGGAGATGCAGGGCGACGACCAGGCGGGACGGGCCATGTCCCCACATGAAGGCTCGTGGATTAGGGGGTGGTCGCCCCCACAACGTCCAGATTCCCCCGCCATTTTTTGGCCAACCAGGGCTATGATGCTGGGCTCCCATTTAATGGCAAATGACATCGAGCTTTAGGTCGGTTGGCCGAAAGCCCCAGGAATTTTGGTGACGAGAGTTGGCTTGAGCTGAGCTCCGGGTGCACCATGGGTTGGCCGGTTGGATCAGCAGCTGGGTGATGGGTCGGCTCTGGGCTCTGGGCTGGTTGGAGCTGCCAACCGCATTTCGGGTGGGTGAATTGCTGGTGCCCAGATGTGTTGGGATGTTGCAATTCACCACGTGTTGGGTTTGGCTCCTCAAGTTTTTGCTTAGTAGTTTAGTATGTGAGACCGGAGTTTGAGCACAAAGCCGAACATGACAAATGTGGACTTTGTTCTCGACGTGGGCTCGCGAGCTATTCTCCTCCCAATCAACGGAAGGAACTCCTGCAAGGATGCTCCGAAAAGTGGTTCCCACCTGTTTCCTCTGCCCATCTTGATCTGGGGAGCAGTTCTGTTGAAAGTGTAGCCTTGCCTGCACCAAGGGCCTCGGTTGCAGAGGGCGTGTTTGGTCATGTCGACCCCTCCCACGGAACAAATGAAAGCGATCGGCCTCACACAGGATTTGCCTTGCACGAGACAACCCATTCTGATTTCAAAGTGGCGAATCGTACTTCAGCTTGGTCAATTGTCAACATATGACCAGATTCAAAAATCATCAGGCAGGTAGGGATTCCGGGTTGGTTTGCAGGCTTCAGGCCTGAAGAGATTTTCGAGACGTGCCGTGTTTAGGCCAAGAAGATATATAAAAAGTCATGCAGACATACATACATATGTATATATATATAGAGAGAGAGAGAGAGAGAACGAGCTGTTGTACATGATCATGAATATTTCACATTATGTTTATACACATGTCAGATACATTGCACATGCTTTGTGCTTTCGCGACTTGTCTCTGCCACTTCGGTGCCACAAAACGCGGTGCCGAGCGGTGCGGCAGGATGGTGACTCGGTGGTTGCCGCCCGGCCAGGGTCTGGGTCCCTCCCCACAAACAGATTCCTTAAATAAAACATGATCTGGGGGTTCCATGTGAAGCAGAAGAGGATTTTTTCCAGTTTGTTTCACCTTCTTTTTTTGGTCATGTTGTCAACTTCGTTGTGGTTTAATGGGGAAGCTACCAACTAAAACGGTATCTTAGGCATCAAATTTGAGGCTGACAGGAATTGAACGTGCTTCCTCACATCTCATTTCAATGCTAGCTCTTAAGGCTGCGTGCGATCTTGGTTTGGTTGGATGGCAACTGCAAAGCAACCTCACAGATCCCGTTAACGTGTTTACGCCAAGAGAAATAGCGGGATCCCTGATTGCAGGGTCGACTGAGTCGGGAGTTTTTTGGGGTTAAACAGCACCTTGTGCCCTTTTCAGCATGGGGACCTTGCAGGGGATACGGTCCAAGAACCCTTCTGATCATTCCCAACGAATATGGAGCCTCCATGGGGCCCGGTGCCCCTGAGCGTCCCTTTTAAGATTGAACCATCGGCTCGCTATGAGGTCTACGGCCCTCACTACCGTGGCTGCGAGTATCGGTTCGGGCTCCCAGCTATTCGGTGAGGTCTTTTTTGCTTGCCTTCCCTAAACCACGAGCCCCTTGTGGATGGTTTCAAAGGAGAGGAAACAACCTGGAGGCTTGTGAGACATGCACATTGCGCCTGAGAATCCATTCAAGCCATAGAAGCTTGCCCTCTCACGATTTGCGAGATTTGTGCGTTGGCACACATACCCACTCGAAGGTCATAATTGAATCAGAAAACGCCAAGCCACCTTGGGTGCGGCAACCGCATTTTGGGGCACCTTGCTTGACTGGCGGCAGAAACTAGGTTCAATTGAGATTAGGGCTGCATATTTTGTCCTTGTCAACACCAAAGTGGTGTCTAATTAGGCGCCCTGGCCATGTCTAGTGAGCCCTGTCTCTGTTTTTGAGGCGGTTGCTGCTGGCACGGTCCATAGAGGCGGACCTGCCCGCAGATGGGCAAGCGGCAACCAGGAGTCTGGGGCTCAGCGTGAGCTTTCGCACCCTTGTACTGTTCACCGAGCAACGTTTGGGAGCGGTTACTATGATGCCAAGGCAACCTCGGAACACGGTGGCGTTGATTTTTGGATGGTGCAGAGAAGTCCCACTCCAGCGATTCATTCGGCGCCCAGACTGGTTCAACGAGATTTCAGTAACATGTTTTGACCATCTCAAAGTGGTTGACCGCCTTTGTTCCGGGGTGCGTCCAAGGGGTCCATATTTTGACCATGCTTGGTTAACAATATTCGGGGGCAAACCAGTGGGTATCTTAGCAAGAACTCTTCAAACAAATAACAAGCAATAACAAAAGGTCACGAACACTGGCGCAGAACAAAGAACGTGGGCATGTTGGCCCCAACCTGACCAATTTCCCTTTTGAGGCTTGTTTCCAATAAAACAACCCCTGCTTACACAAGCAATAGAAGAGGCCAAACAAAAAAACGCACATTCCCCAATGATCATGACAATTAGTTTGACTTTCCCCGCCCATCCTACTTTTTGGGACCCTTCCTCTTGGTCCCCTAAAATGGTCTTTGGGTTTCCTTTTGCCCCTTCAGAGTCCAAGCCAAAGGGGGGGTTCCAACGTAGACGAAGCAACTCCAGTACCGTTTGAGGCCTCGCCGCCTTCTTGGCCCTTCTGGGCCTGGAGACCGCCTTCGCCTCTGCGGAGTGCGCCGGGACGCGATGGCGCACGTGGAACCTTCTCGGAAGGCTTATGTCCGTGGTTTTTTGTTTATTTGTTCATGATGTGAATGTATGTCTATGCATTATATATATATATATACATGTTTATATATATATATATATATACACATGTATATATACACACATGAGTATGTGCATATCTCTCTCTCTCTCTACATATATATGAGATCGAACTTGACAATGGGCCCGCGGCTCCCCGACACTTCTCGGGTCTCGGGTCTCGGGTCTCGGGTCTCGGGCCTCGGGTCTCGGGTCTCGGGTCTCGGGTCTCGGGTCTCGGGTCTCGGGTCTCGGGTCTCGGGTCTCGGGGTCTCGGGTCTCGGGTCTCGGGTCTCGGATCTCGGGTCTCGGGTCTCGGGTGTCAGGTCTCGGGTCTTGGGGTCTCGGGTCTCGGGTCTCGGGTCTCGGGTGTCGGGGTCTCGGGTCTCGGGTCTCAGGTCTCGGATCTCGGGTCTCGGGTCTCGGGTCTCGGGTCTCGGGTCTCGGGGTCTCGGGTCTCGGGTCTCGGATCTCGGGTCTCGGGGTCTCGGGTCTCGGGTCTCGGGGTCTCGGATCTCGGGTCTCGGGTCTCGGGGTCTCGGGTCTCGGGGTCTCGGGCTTCGGGTCACGAATCTCGAATCTATAGGGCGCGCGTAAGCAGGCGTGCTTACCATTTGGCGGGCGCAGTGCTGAGCGGGTGACGTGAGAGGCATGTGTGCAGTGCTGAGCGGGTGCACGTGAGGGTCGTGCTTACCATTTGGCAGGCATGTGCGCAGTGCTGAGCGGGCTCGGGTCTCGGTATCGGGTCTCGAGTCTCGGGTCTTGGGTCTTGGGTCTCGGGTATGTGTACAGTGCTGAGCGGGTGCGCATGAGGGAGCGTTTGGCAGGCATGTGGCGCAGTGCTGAGCGGGCTCACGTGAGTGGGCGTGCTTACCGTTTGGCAGGCGTGGGCGCAGTGCTGAGCGGGTGCAGGTGAGCGGGTGTGCTCACCATTTGGCAAGCATGTGTGCAGTGCTGAGCGGGTGCACGTGAGCGGGCGTGCTTGTCATGTGGCAGCAGAGCGAGCGGGTGCAGCTGAGCGGGCATGTTTGCGATTTGGCAGGAGCGGGTGTGCTGACCACTTGGCAGGCATGTGGCGCAGTGCTGAGCGGGCTCACGTGAGCGGGCGTGCTTACCATTTGGCAGGCGTGGGCGCAGTGCTGAGCGGGTGCAGGTGAGCGGGTGTGCTCACCACTTGGCAAGCATGTGTGCAGTGCTGAGCGGGTGCACGTGAGCGGGCGTGCTTGTCATGTGGCAGCAGACCGAGCGGGTGCAGCTGAGCGGGCGTGTTTGCGATTTGGCAGGAGCGGGTGTGCTGACCACTTGGCAGGCATGTGTGCAGTGCTGAGCGGGCGGACGTGAGCGGGCGCGCTTACCATTTCGCAAGCATGTGCGCAGTGCTGAGCGGGTGCACGTGAGCGGGCGTGCTTACCATGCTCTCCAGCACACTTCCCCGGCACACTCCCTCGTCCGGGCACACTCCCCCGGCACACTGCCCCCGCAGAGCAGGCACACTCCTCCAAGTACAGTGGCAGGCATGGGCGCGCTGCTGAGCGGGCGCAGGTGAGCGGGTGTGCTCACCATTTCGCAAGCATGTCCGCAGTGCTGAGCGGGTTCGCGTGAGCACTGTATCCATGCCAGGCACAGGGTAAGAACACCCGTTCAAATGCGCCCGCTGAGCATCCATGCCAGGCACATGGTAAGAACAACCGCTCAAGTGCACCCGCTTAGCACTGTATCCATGCCAGGCACATGGTAAGAACACCCGTTGAAGTGCACCCGCTTAGCACTGTATCGATGCCAGGCACATGGTAAGAACACCCGCTCAAAGCGCACCCGCTCAAGCGCGCCCGCTTAGCGCTGTATCCATGCCAGGCATATGGTAAGAACACCCGTTCAAGTGCACCCGCTTAGCACCGTATCGATGCCAGGCACGTTAAGAACACCCGCTCAAGTGCACCATTCAGCATTGTGCCCATGCCAGGCACATGGTAAGAACACCCGCTCAAGTGCACCCGCTCAGCACTGTGTCCATGATAAGGCTCGAGTGCACCCGCTCACCACTCTATCCCTGCCAGGCACACACATTACCCGCTGAGCGGGCGCACTTGAGCGGGTGTTCTGACCATGTGCCTGGCATGGAAACAGTGCTGAGCGGGCGCGCTTGAGCGGGTAAAATGCGTGCCTGGCATGGATAGAGTGGTGAGCGGGTGCACTTGAGCCTTATTATGGACACAGTGCTGAGCGGGTGCACTTGAGCGGGTGTTCTTACCATGTGACTGGCATGGACACAATGCTGATCGGGTGCACTTGAGCGGGTGTTCTTGACGTGCCTGGCATCGATACAGTGCTAAGCGGGTGCACTTGAACGGGTGTTCTTACCATATGCCTGGCATGGATACAGCGCTAAGCGGGCGCGCTTGAACGGGTGTTCTTACCATGTGCCTGGCATGGACACAATGCTGAGCGGGTGCACTTGAGCGGGTGTTCTTACCATGTGCCTGGCATCGATACAGCGCTAAGCGGGTGCACTTGAACGGGTGTTCTTACCAGTGCTAAGCGGGTGCACTTGAACGGGTGTTCTTACCATGTGCCTGGCATCGACACAGTGCTAAGCGGGTGCGCTTGAAAGGGTGTTCTTACAATGTGCCTGGCATGGATACACTGCTAAGCGGGTGCACTTGAACGGGTGTTCTTACCATGTGCCTGGCATGGATACAGTGCTAAGCGGGTGCACTTGAACGGGTGTTCTTACCAGCATGGATACAGTGCTAAGCGGGTGCGCTTGAACGGGTGTTCTTACCAGCATGGATACAGTGCTAAGCGGGTGCACTTGAACGGGTGTTCTTACCATGTGCCTGGCATGGATACAGTGCTAAGCGGGTGCACTTGAACGGGTGTTCTTACCATGTGCCTGGCATGGATACATGCTGAGCGGGTGCACTTGAACGGGTGTTCTTACCACTGCACTGTGTTGGGTACCATGTGCTAACTGGCATGTGTGAACGGGTGTTCTTACCGGCATGGATACAGTGCTAAGCGGGTGCACTTGAACGGGTGTTCTTACCAGCATGGATACAGTGCTAAGCGGGTGCACTTGAACGGGTGTTCTTACCATGTGCCTGGCATGGATACAGTGCTAAGCGGGTGCACTTGAACGGGTGTTCTTACCATGTGCCTGGCATGGATACAGTGCTAAGCGGGTGCACTTGAACGGGTGTTCTTACCATGTGCCTGGCATGGATACAGCGCTAAGCGGGTGCGCTTGAACGGGTGTTTTTACCATGTGCCTGGCATGGATACAGTGCTAAGCGGGTGCACTTGAATGGGTGTTCTTACCATGTGCCTTGCGCGCATGCAGTGCTAAGCGGGTGCACTTGAACGGGTGTTCTTACCATGTGCCTGGCATGGATACAGTGCTAAGTGGGTGCACTTGAACCTAAGCGGGTGCACTTGAACGGGTGTTCTTACCATGTGCCTGGCAGTCAGTGGCATGTGCACTTGAACGGGTGTTCTTACCATGTGCCTGGCATGTAGTCAGTGCTCAGCATGTGCACTTGAACGGGTGTTCTTACCATGTGCCTGGCAGGGATACAGTGCTAAGCGGGTGCACTTGAACGGGTGTTCTTACCATGTGCCTGGCATGGATACAGTGCTAAGCGGGTGCACTTGAACGGGTGTTCTTACCGTGTGCTGGCATGGATACAGTGCTAAGCGGGTGCGCTTGAACGGGTGTTCTTACCATGTGCCTGGCATGGGTACAGTGCTAAGCGGGTGCACTTGAACGGGTGTTCTTACCGTGTGCCTGGCATGGATACAGTGCTAAGCGGGTGCGCTTGAACGGGTGTTCTTACCATGTGCCTGGCATGGATACAGTGCTGAGCGGGCGCACTTGAGCGGGTGTTCTTACCATGTGCCTGGCATGGAAACAGTGCTGAGCGGGCGCGCTTGAGCGGGTAATGTGTGTGCCTGGCATGGATAGAGTGGTGAGCGGGGTGCACTTGAGCCTTATCATGGACACAGTGCTGAGCGGGTGCACTTGAGCGGGTGTTCTTACCATGTGCCTGGCATGGACACAATGCTGAATGGTGCACTTGAGCAGGTGTTCTTAACGTGCTTGGCATGGACACAGTGCTAAGCGGGTGCACTTGAACGGGTGTTCTTACCATGTGCCTGGCATGGATACAGTGCTAAGCGGGTGCACTTGAACGGGTGTTCTTACCATGTGCCTGGCATGGACACAGTGCTAAGCGGGCACGCTTGAACGGGTGTTCTTACCATGTGCCTGGCATGGACACAATGCTGAGCGGGTGCGCTTGAACGGGTGTTCTTACCATGCGCCTGGCATGGACACAATGCTGAGCGGGTGCGCTTGAACGGGTGTTCTTACCATGTGCCTGGCATGGATACAGTGCTAAGCGGGTGCACTTGAAGGGGTGTTCTTACCATGTGCCTGGCATGGATACAGTGCTAAGCGGGTGCACTTGAACGGGTGTTCTTACCATGTGCCTGGCATGGATACAGCGCTAAGCGGGTGCACTTGAACGGGTGTTCTTACCATGTGCCTGGCATGGACACATGCTGAGCGGGTGCGCTTGAACGGGTGTTCTTACCATGTGCCTGGCATGGATACAGTGCTAAGCGGGTGCACTTGAACGGGTGTTCTTACCATGTGCCTGGCATGGATACAGTGCTAAGCGGGTGCACTTGAACGGGTGTTCTTACCATGTGCCTGGCATGGATACAGCGCTAAGCGGGTGCACTTGAACGGGTGTTCTTACCATGTGCCTGGCATGGATACTGTGCTGCACGCATGCAGTGCTAAGCGGGTGCACTTGAACGGGTGTTTTTACCATGTGTCTGGCATGGATACAGTGCTAAGCGGGTGCACTTGAACCTAAGCGGGTGCACTTGAACGGGTCTTCTTACCGTGTGCCTGGCATGGATACAGTGCTAAGCGGGTGCGCTTGAACGGGTGTTCTTACCATGTGCCTGGCATGAGTCTCCGGTGTCGAGTCTCGTGGTCTCGGTTCTCGGGTCTCGGAGTCTCGCGTCTCAGGGTTTCGGGTCGCAGGTCTCGGATCTCGGATCTCGGGTCTCGGGTCTCGGGTCTCGGGCTCTCGGGTCTCGGGTCTTGGGTCTCGGGTCTCGGGTCTCGAGTCTCGGGTCTCGGGTCTCGGGTCTCGGGTCTCGGGGTCTCGGGTCTCGGGTCTCGGATCTTTGGGTCTCGGGTCTCGGGTCTCTGATCTCGGGTCTCGGGTCGCGGGTCTCGGGTCTCGGGTCTCGGGTCTCGGGGTCTCGGGTCTCGGGTCTCGGATCTTTGGGTCTCGGGTCTCGGGTCTCGGGTCTCGGATCTCGGGTCTCGGGTCGCGGGTCTCGGGTCTCGGGTCTCGCGTCTCGGGTCTCGGGTCTCGGGTCTCGGATCTCGGGTCTCGGGTCTCGGGTCTCGCGTCTCGGGTCTGGTCTCGGGTCTCGGGTCTCGGGTCTCGGGTCTCGGGTCTCGGGTCTCGGGTCGCGCTCGTTGTCAAGTGCGTTCTGATATATATATATATAGAAATAATTATATTTACATATATGTATATTTCTATATTTGCCCTACCCGGGAGCTCCGCTGCACAGCAGATCGCTGAACAGCGGAGCTCTGCACACCGTTGGCCGGGTGTGGGGCGCACAGCTTGGTGCTTCTTCCTTCGGGGCACTCTCAAAGGGCCGCCCTCCGGGGGATAGCATCAGCAGCACCTGTGAGGCCAACGCGCTCCGCCTTTGGAGTGTATGACAGCGAGACGATGCGCTAAGGTGCTCGCTGGGGTGCTCCAAGGTGTTACCTTTGGTTGGCTGTGCAAAAAGGGGAGGCCAGAACGCAAACAAGCCGCCGGCAAACCGCTCGGAACCGCACGTGTATTGGAAAAGCACGGCACGGTCTTGCGAACTATCATGCGCGAGAATAACGAGGACGCCAGCATGATTGAGTGCAATCCGAATGGCTGCACCTCCTTTCGCTCAAGGGAAATGGGCCCCCGCCCCCCAACACCGGAATCCGCTGAATTCCATCAGGGTTTCTCAAAATGGAACTTGGCCCCGCAAAATGGCAAGGGCTTCCTTGTGGTTTTCCTCTACCAACCAAAAGGGGGCTTTTCCACCGGTTCCTTCGGCCAAAGCTCAGTTTTGTATTTCCTCAGGTTCCTTGGGTTCCTGCAGCATCGAGCGTACTTGCGGGATGGCATATGCGAACTCACATGGCCATGGGTCAAAATCCAAATCGGTTAGCCCCCAGTGAACATCCGATTCCATCCAACCACTAAAATAGGAAGCCTAAAATGGGTGGTGACTTCACCTATCCCCCGAAATGGGATCAAACACCGGGTTTGACCACAGCCATTTCACGAAAGCTATGCTTGTTTCTTCGTTCTGCCAATCATTCCCCCCGGGTGGATCTTGTTTTTCCACAAGAGGTGGCCAAAAAAAGTCCCCACAACTCCTTTTTTTGGCCAAAAGACCCCCCCCCCCCCCGAAGAAAACCAACGGTATAAGAGAGAGGGGCGTGCACCGCCACATTGGGCCCATGAGCCCAGGTACCACAGCGCGGCGACATCCGCGGCCTCGCCCCTGCAGCTGGCGCGGATGGAGGCCCAGCGGCAGGCACACGCGCGGGGGGTCGGGAGTATGAGGGAGGATGATACCAAACTAGGTGCCCCAGCTAGGTGCCCTTGTACCGTTTCTTTTTTGGTTGGGAGGGTTCGGTACCCTTATTCTTAGGTCCTCTCTACTGGAGGACCTAGCAAACGTGTCACAAGCTTCTTCTGCGGAGAGAAGAAGCTTGTTTGCGGCCAGTGTTGATTATGTAAAAATAATAATGCCCAGGCCCAGCCCATTCCATTTCCCAGAATGTGAATGTTGTTTTGAGCTAGGGAGGACCATGTTTTCCAATCCTTCTATTTTGCCGATTAGTTGGAACAACACGCAGGATAATCAGTCCATTTTTCTTTCGCAATATGAGACCTGGTGTCCTACTTTTTCTATTTTGCAGTCTTTTCTACTTAATTAGAAGAAATGGCTGGACAACTCAGTATTTGTTTCTATCTTGTCTATTGTTTGTCATCAATTGGAGGCTTCGTTTCCTGAATGTTGGGACCTATCTTCCCTTCATTTGCTTTGGATTTTCTTGGGTTCCTTCCGTTTATTTTTCGGCGCTGACGTCCCGGTTTCCAGGCGGCTGCTGCTTGGTGCTCCGGTTCTACTCTGAGCTTTCAGGGTGTGCCCTGGCATTTCTCAAAGGGTGTTGTGGTCTGGCGGGAGGCGCCACCGTGTGGCAATTCCAGCGGAAGGGGGCAAAATGACGGGAAAGGAAACAACGACATGAAGGAGTATGGTTCACCCAGATAGGTACCCTGACAAGTCTTGGGGCGTGGTTTGACGTGTCACGTGTCATGCCGCGATGTGTCATGTTGTGATGTGCGATGCTATGCTGTGCAAAGGCAAGTCTTAATCCCTCTCAATTGGCCAAAGGGGGCCCCTTTGTGGTGGTTTCCCGATGAGGATTATGGATTAGGACCAAATCTCCATTCTGAACAACCCAGACATGTCCTTTGTTACATTCCGCCCACAGCGTGGCTCCGCTTCGAGTGTTAACAGGGCATCCGCACAAACTGCACGCATTGCCGAGTCGCATAATTTTGTTGGAGAAAATATTCATGCGCCTTGGGCGCCCCGAAGTGTAACGTGGCTATGGCTGGTGTTGGGCAACGTTTCAAGCCACCGGGCCCAGTAATTGAGTTGACTCTAGCCATAGACCTTGGGCCCAACTCTGGCTTTGGGTCGTCAAAATGCCAGCCCCGGCCCCCCCCAAAATATAAATATATATATATATATCAACAACAATAATAACCAAGAAAACAAGCGACTAGTCGTTTCCTTTTTGGGCTTCTGCAATCGAACCCAAAGAGGATCCCTAAAACAGGACACATTTGCATGCGAGCCTATGCCTGAGGAAGAGCGGTCGCTTCCGTGGCTGATCAACTTCGCAGTAGCTTGGCATTCCGACAGGCGTTGGACAGGAGCTTACTGCGAACCCAGATGCATCGACCTGGTGTATTATTAGAGGAACAATGGTCGGTTGACTTGGAACCATTGTTATAACCTAGTTTCCAACCAGGTTGAGCTGTTATGCAAGTGTATACTTTTGTTGAGGTTCCCCTTTTCTGGGAAGGGCAACAAAAGGAGCACCCCCCCATTCTTCCACGCAAGCACTGTGGAGGGGACACCCCTTTGGCAATCAACCAGAAGCTGATGAATTCTGGGTTCCAAGACAAGAATAGTCATGGGGATATGGATGTTTTCTGAACCTCAAAAAACGCTTGTGGGGGCGTTGCTTTCCTTTGGGCGCCGACCCCCCCTTGCCCATAGTTTCGCCACAATTTCCCACTACTGGAGTTTCTTTTTTGGCTACGGAAAGCAAGCCCTAAAAACCCTAAACCCACACTTTGCAGACCCTAAACCCCAAGCACCCTGAACCTAAAATTCCAATTACTGCGCAAGGCCAATGTGTTCGGGGTGTTTTGGGCCCAAAACTGAAGCCTAAAAACCCTAAACGTAAACCCCAAAAGCTTAAACCCTAAGTAACCCTAAGCCCAACAGGTCCGGGCAGATCGCATGGATTGGGGGGTAGCAATTGGGTCCACGGCCAACTGCAAGGGGAACCCGTGGCTTTTTGCATCGACAAATGGAGCCCAACATGAGGACCTGTTTTAGGATATCGTCAGCCTGGAACAGGGATTCATGGAAGCGTGTAAGGTGTCTTGTTGAACCCGAGCAAAAAAGGTCAAAGGCGATGAGCCCGCAAACCCGCATGTGGACGTGAAAAGAGGGCGGGCCAAGTTCACCAGTCTTTGCAAGCAGGAGCACCACATCAAATGCACCTTTGCCCTCATGTGAAGCTCATGCAATGCCAAGTTGGCATTCGGATGCCGCTAGGTGGACCTGTCAAACCTTACAATGCGCCCTACCCGGGAGCTGTGTCGCACACCGGATCTTTGCACAGCAAGCTCTGCACACCGTTGGCCGGGTGTGGGGGGGGGGAGGGAGCAGCCGTTCATGTCCAAGATGTTCGCCCACATTGGGCCGAAGCACCAGTATCACCCCCGGCTCATTCGCTGGAGGCGATGCGCTAAAGTGCTCGCTGGGGATCTGCCAAGGGCTTGTCTGCCTTTAGTGTTGGCTGTACAGGGAGGCAGGCACAGCAGGCAAGTGGGCCTGACGTCTGTGAGTTGAGCGCCTGATTGGTGCGATGAAGGATATATACTTTAGAGCCTCCGGCTCAGTCCGCCGACATTGTCCTCTCCCTTGTCTCCTTCTTCCTCTCTCCCTTGTCTCCCTCGTGTGTTCTGTCGTCCTCTCTCCCTCCCTCTGCTCCCCATCCTCCCCATCCCCCCAAGCCTCTCTCTCCTCAATCTCCCTCACTCTCTCTTTGTCTCTCTCTCTCTCTCTCTCCCTCTCTCCCTCTCTCTCTCTCTCTCTCTCTCTCTCTCTCCCTCTCTCCCTCTCTCTCTCTCTCTTTCTCTCTCTCTCTCTCTCTCTCTCTCTCTCTCTCTCTCTTTCTTGTCTCTCTCTTGTCTCTCTCTTGTCTCTCTCCTGTCTCTCTCCTGTCTCTCTCCTGTCTCTCTCTTGTCTCTCTCTTGTCTCTCTCCTGTCTCTCTCCTGTCTCTCTCCCTGTCTCTCTCCTGTCTCTCTCCTGTCTCTCTCCTGTCTCTCTCCTGTCTCTCTCCTGTCTCTCTCCTGTCTCTCTCCTGTCTCTCTCCTGTCTCTCTCCTGTCTCTCTCCTGTCTCTCTCCTGTCTCTCTCTCTCTCCTGTCTCTCTCCTGTCTCTCTCCTGTCTCTCTCCTGTCTCTCTCCTCTCTCCTGTCTCTCTCCTGTCTCTCTCCTGTCTCTCTCCTGTCTCTCTCCTGTCTCTCTCCTGTCTCTCTCCTGTCTCTCTCCTGTCTCTCTCCTGTCTCTCTCCTGTCTCTCTCTCTCTCTCTCTCTCTCTCTCTCTCTCTCTCTCTCTCTCTCTCTCTCTCTCTCTCTCTCTCTCTCTCTCTCTCTCTCTCTCTCTCTCTCTCTCTCTCTCTCTCTCTCTCTCTCTCTCTCTCTCTCTCTCTCTGTCTCTCTCTCTCTCTCTCTGCATTGCAGCGTCACGCCCCCCCTGAGTTGCCTCGATGTCCGGGCACTGCCCCTTCATGACCCTGAACTGTCATCTCACTACTGGCGCTCCCCTTGATTTCCCCTTCATGTCCTTTTCACGTTTCCCATGATGTCCTGGTCATGTCCCTTCCATGCCTTTCAACTCCCCCTTCATGTCCCTGACATTTTCTCGGCATGTCCGCTTCATTTTCCATGCATGTCCCGTTCTTTCGTTGCGAGTCATTTCCCTACATCTCCCGTCGTGCCGATTGGTTTCCTTGTGCTTTGTTTCCCTTTCATTCCCCCTGCACTCCCCTTGTTTTCATTTCTGTCCCTTGCATGTCCCTTTCAGTTCCCCTTTGTTTCCCTTTCATTTCCCGCTGCTTTCCTGTCATGTCGACTTCCTATTTCCTCCCCTCATTTCCTTGCACTTCCTCGCATTTCCCCTTTGCTCCCCAATACTTCCCGCAAAAAACGCTGTTTTTCCAGTGTTTTCGCAATTAGGATGTCCAAAAACGTAGAGTGTTTCCAGATTTTCGGCAAAAGGAGGCAGGAACCCCAAACCAGCAAAGAGCCGGCAGGGGGAATCGAGCCTGGAACACCTGTTTTGCGACGTTTAGTGGAACGTCATCAAATTGCCGCGCGGTCCGGAGGGGGGGGGGCGACGCCCAAACCCTGCATAATTGACGTGTCCTGGGGGGACTAAGGGGGGGGGTTATCCTCTATCCTCTCCGACACGCCGACAGAGAGATATATATATATATACATATATTGTATGCATATCTCTATTTTGGTCCCGTGCCGTGTTGCTACCCCCCCCCCCCCCGGCCCAAGACCCCGGATCCTGGCACCTACGGTCCCACCCCCACCCCGACCCCATGAACTCGCACCCGGACACCCCGGCCCCCCCACCCCCAGGACAAGCCAACCCGCAACCAACCATAAACCAACCCGAAACTAACCCTAAACCAACCCTAAATACACCCTAAACCAAACCCTAAACCTTAGACCGTTAAACCTAAACCAACCCCAAGTCAACATAAACCAACCTTAAGCTAACCCTAAACTAACCCTAAATACACCCTAAACCAAACCCTAAACCGTACACCTCTAAACCTAAACCAACCCTAAATCAACATAAACCAACCCTAAACCAACCCTAAACTAACCCCCCTAAACCGTACACCTCTAAACCTAAACCAACCCTAAACCAACCCTAAATCAACATAAGCCAACCCTAAACTAACCCTAAATACACCCTAAATATGCCCTAAACCAAGTCTGAACCAACCCTAAACCACCACAACCCGGACCACAACCACAGGGGGGGGGTTACTTGTTTGACCCTTGACCATAGGGGGGGGAGGGGGGGGGGGGCTGGCAACGCTGTACCATATATATATATATACATATATATATATAGATTGAGCGCGCGCGCACGGTAGATCTGAAAGGAAGCCACTTAGCCACTTAGCCACTCTTAAGAGTGGCTAAGTGGCTAAGTGGCTTCCCGGTGGCTGAGTGGCTAAGTGGCTAAGTGGCGTCCGGCTGAGAAGCTAAGTGGCTAAGTGGCTAAGTGGCTTCCCGGTGGAGGTTAAGTGGCTGGCTCTAAGTGGCTGAGTGGCTTCCTGGTGGTTGAGTGGCTTCCTGGTGGTTGAGTTGGTTGAGTGGCTGAGTGGCTAAGTGGCTGAGAAGCTAAGAGGCTAAGTAGCTAAGTGGCTAAGTGGCTTCCCGGTGGAGGCTAAGTGGCTGGCTCTACTTGGCTGAGTGACTTCCTGGTGGTTGAGTGGCTTTCTGGTGGTTGAGTGGCTTCTGAGCGGCTGGGTTGCTTCCCACTGGCTGAGTGGCTGGGTGGCTGCGTGGCAAAATTGACCCAGCTCGACCAGGTGCGATTGCGACAGTCGCACCTGGCCGTGCCCCATCAAAAAGAATCTCCAGAAAACACAGCACTTTACTGTAGGGACCCAAGTTACGGTCTGGCCTATTCTGCGTTCTTCGGCAAATGAGGTCTCTCCTTTCCGGACCCAAGAATTCCAAGAAAGGAATGTAAACAGCAGAAATCAATGCTGTAATGGTTTTGAGGTGATGCTAAAGGCCTCCTCGTAGTATCCAAATTCAGCCGGAAGTCTTGGGGGAATATCTACGGCGGAAAGACGGGCAAGGTTAGATAGATAGAATATATAATATAGTCTACCCATTCATTATTTACTACTACAATTGCACTGCTTACAAAATGGTATGATATTATCTAATGTATGCGTGTATTCATTGTCCTTGCGTTGTGCTGTTAGGTTTGTTGTGATATTACTATTTTTCATATCAATAGCAAAATCGCACCCATAGTAATTACATTTATTTTTATATTGTCTAAAAACCATTGAGTATTTACATAACCTTCTTTAGGTATATTTTGTTTTGCGGTTTCCCTATCTGTTTGTAATTTAATACTTTTCTTTCAACATAACTTAAAATATATTCTTGATTAAATACATCATCACTATCTTTTTTTGTATATTAAAACATGACTTTGTTTAAATATCTTGCTTTGGTAATTGCCGTCCATATCCATTCTGGATAACTATTGACCAAACAATGGTAGATAGCATCGGGTGTATATCTTCGTATTGAACCATTATTATGAACATTGAAAAATGAACCATTATTAAGACTTACGGCTTTGTCGGTATCTATAAACTGAACGGCGTTAGTAAATCTCGCTCGTCCGGCACAATTTAGTCTAAATGCTTCGTTTAACTCTGATTGTATTTTGAATGATAATTGGTTGGCGCAATAACTTTCACCGGATATATCAGCGGCTGTGCTTCTTAATGAAACATTGGAACTACTATATGACATAATATAGAACCTTTCACAAAACCCTTTCTCTGTGGAGTGCTGAAGGAACACTCCGTCACGAACATGTTTGTTCTGGGTGGACTTTCATTTTGTTCAGGTTCTATAATAAAGTCGCTGGTAGAGTTACTTTATTGTAATCTGTAAGCACTATCAATATATATATATATATTTATATTTGAATATGTTACTCTACCACTCATAAATATAATATAAAACATAAAAAAGTATTATAGTTATTGTTATATGATAGGACGACAGATATTATTACGTGCTATAGAAGGCAGGACGCCTACACAAACAATGGCAGGTGTAGCAAGTGATACGGCGTACACGGCAGGTAAAGATTTATTAGAGGATGTATTTCATCATAAAAAATAAATTGGAAGACAAAATAGCAGGTTTCAAGACAAAATAGGAGGTTTCAATAAACATTTTGATAAGCAAATAATGAAGTATAAAACAAGCTATGTTGAAGAAATCAACGTCCAAAATGAAAACAACATTGATGATGTCAAGGGAGTAGACGCCGCGTATTCAAGTGTGAATGGAACAACACGAATAGGAAACACTTTATATATTGGTGGCACTGGTGCTAAAACGGGACTAAATCACAAAGCCAACGATGTCATTGCAGATGTGTTTTTCATTCCTACTAATAATGTTCAATTAAGCGAAAGATATAAGGACGCAATGGTCACAGCCTCGGCTCATCCGTTGTTCAAGAAATAAACAACAGACACGAAAACAAATATGCTACTACTGTGTAATCATCACCTTTTGTATCAGGAATTAGTCAACAGAAACATCTGCGATACTTACGATTTAAGGATAAAAAGGAATTTATAGCAATATTAGATGATGCCGCGATTACTGCTGACATTGGTTCATTAGATGTGCTAGAAAACCACGGTTATCAAAATTGGAAAGGGCAAGGTATGACTGAAATTTATCCTACTACTGATATTTCTAATGGTTTTGACTATTAATGTATACAAATCAAGACAAACAAAACAAAATCCCATTAGAGAAGAAGCTGACAAAAGAACCTACAAAACACGATAAACCATATAAACATTTAGATTATCATACTAGAAAAGATATAGTTGGTACAAACACTAACTATTTAAGGAATACTATAACAAATACAACTTCAATAATTCTACTTCAATGCTTCCACATAAGAAACGTATAAAACAATGAAAAATAAAATCTATATCATCATATACAAGTAATGATAATATAATTGCAGAAAGTGAACCTACAATGACTACCTCATTAAATGTTGGACTCGCTGAAACAGCACAATATATCACGGACAGAAGACACGTTAATTGTTTTCCATCGGGTAGCAATGTTTATAATCCAAATGCAGGAAACAACAATATTAGATTTCATATTTCAGGAGAAGACACCACATATATTGATTTATCTTCTCTTAGGTTATTTGCCAATATTCAAAACACTGACGGAACACGAAGTCATTTTTCACGACCGTTAGGTAATTTATCATCCTTCTTTAGTCGTTATAGATGCACTGTAGGCGGGCAACAAGTGCCAGATATTATTGAATACAATAGACACTGCGAGTTATATAATTCCTTCAAGAGTCAAGATGCTAGAGATATGGATGATTTAGAAAGTAGTGCTAATCCTCGACATACTTATGCCACTGGTTTAGCAGAAATGTTAGATGTTAATAAACGAACAAATCCCGCTGCTGACCCCGCAGCAGTTGCATTTCCAACCATACCAGACCATACCAGTTGGAGCAAGTTAACAGCACAATTTACCCGCCATTCAGTTGCAGGAATTCCCGGCGCTAGTGGTTATATGAGATTAGGACATAAACCAGTATGCAGACTGTCAGAAAGCAAGTATTACTTGCCTCTTCGTTATGCACCACTTGAACTGGAATTTACAATTGTATCAGATGAACATTCACCAGTAGTTACGCCTTTTTGTGTGACTGATGCAACCACTCAAAATGATGCGTCTGGTTTTTGTTTCACAACTGGAGACACCAGCACCAGGTGGGAATTAAAATAACGTAATTATACATGTACTATAAGTGGACAACACGGTCAATAATAATATAGTGAAACATTTGTTAGAAGGTCAAAGTTTGAAATTCATATTTCCAATGTATCACACTATGACACAATCATTCAACGCAGCAGGAAACAAAATTAATATGAACATTGTTAAATTTGCTTCTAAATTAAATGGTTGTTTCATTACATTGCATCGCGCACCAAGAACTGGAGTTGATGCTGACAATGCCAACTATTACACACACACACACAACGGTGATTTAGTATACGGTTGAAAGACTGGCAAAATCTGTTCTAACTGTAACTCGGGCCCCTACAGTAAAATGATGTGTTTTCTGGAGATTCTTTTTGATGGGGCGCGGCCAGGTGCGACTGTCGCAATCGCACCTGGTCGAGCTGGGTCAATTTTGCCTGGCAGCCACCCAGCCACTCAGCCAGTGCGAAGCAACCCAGCCGCTCAGAAGCCACTCAACTACCAGGAAGCCACTCAACCACCAGGAAGCCACTCAGCCACTTAGCCACTTAGCCACTTAGCCACTTAGCTTCTCAGCCACTCAGCCACTCAGCCACTCAGCCACTCAGCCACTCAGCCACTCAGCCACTCAGCCAGCGGGAAGCCTCTTAGCCACTTAGCCACTTAGGCACTGAGCCAACGGGAAGCCACTCAGCCACTTAGCCACTTAGCCACTTAGCCACTTAGCCACTTAGCCACTTAGCCACTTAGCCACTTAGCCACTTAGCCACTTAGCCACTTTGTCACTTAGCCATCGGAAGCCACTTAGCCACTTAGCCACTTAACAGTCTAAGTGGCTAAGTGGCTAAGTGGCTGCGCCTTTTTTTCTAAGTGGCTAAGTGTCTAAGTGGCTGCTCGACAAATCCGACCCGATCTGCACACACACTCTATATATACACATATTTGTTGCACATTTGAGAAACTCAAGACTGGCTTGGGAGTCGTTGTAAGTCCGTACTTGGCAATGTTCCCCCCCCTTCCCCGATGAGCCGAAGAGTGCACCCGTGGTGTCCCAATAACGTGCTTGTCCCATTTTAGTCAGATTTTGGAGGGGATCCTTCACTCGTGAGGGAAACAGCTCCTTGCTTTTTCTCGAGGTTTGCGAATCCGGGATCAACATCATTGCCGTACCCAGGAGTCGCGCAGGCAGACTCTACACACCGTTGGCCGGGTGTGCGGCGCACGCCAACATGCTCGTATCCACGATGTGGCACAGCCGACCTCTCTGGAGAGCATTTTCATCCTTGGGGCCAACACACCCCCAGCGAGGCCATTCGCTGTCGGGTGTATGACAGCGAGACGATGCGCTAAAGTGCTCGCTGGGGATGTGCCAAGGGTATGTCTGCCTTGGGTGTTGGATGTGCAGGGAGGGAAGGCCATATTTACCAACAGGCACAGCAGGCAAGTGGGCCTGACGTCTGTGAGCTGAGCGCTTGATTGGGGCGATGGAAGACACATTGTTGCAACTTGCGGCACAATGTGCCTGAGCCATACCCATTTGGGCCAATTTAGGGGGAATGGGAAGTTCACTGGGGTACCGGGTTTTGACCCACAGCCTGTGTCTTTTCCCCCTCCCCCCCCCCCCCCCGCATACCCATGCTCCCCTACCTACTACGTATTTTTAACTCGCGGCTTGGCCGCTTAATGAGGTGGACTGCGATGACGCTGAGCTGCTGCAGGCCCTCCTGCACTTCTTCCTGAGCGCCTCGAAGAACCAACCTCGGTCTCTGAATCCATGGTGAGACTTTGGCGCATTTTTCTTGGATGTTAGGATTTTAGCTTTTTGGCCAACGAATGGTTTTCCATTAAATCACCAAACAATTAAACTTTTAGCAGGGAGCAGAAAGCAACCAAGACCATTTGGTGAATCCATGGTAAGATGTAGGGGCAAGTTGGGGTGCGTGAAAGAGTATTTTGGGGTCGAAATAGGACACTTGAAGATCTGTGCTCTCTTTTAGGCAAAAAGCGGGAGTCCAAAAAGGCTAGTGGATTCCACCCTGTGCCCTTTTTTTTTGGGCTTGGGACGGCTTAACAGAAATGGTTCGAAAGTGTGCCTGCAAGCCACGGAGGTTCCATGCTGGCTTGGCCAGGACACTGAGCCAAGAAAAAAGAGGTATACACTGCCCATTTTCTTGGACTATGGGTTTCTCAGGATTTGCGTGCCTAAAGCAATTGGTCAGCTTCGTGGGGACCTTTTGGTTGGCTTGCTGGTGTTTCCCTTTAGCTTCCCCCCCACCTTTGGCGGTTTCACCATTTGGCAGTGGGTCAATAATATGTAACATGGAACCCCTGGCAAGTGGAAACATGGCCTGAAATCTGCGGTCCAATTCCTGTTGGTTTCCTTTTGACCCATACTCATTTCCTTAGCTCCCTGCGAGGCTTCTACGGCTGCGCCGCGGAGCTTCGCAGCCCCTTGCTCCCGCCGGTTCAGTGGCCGGAGGAGTGGACCTCTGGCGGTTCGTTCGTTGAGTCTGGGGCTGGATTTATGAACCATTTTGCAAACTCAGTCACTGGTAGTTTGCAAGGTTCAAACTGGTAGGGAAACTTGGAGTTGGAGTTTATCCCACCACCAGTTTGAAGCTTTTTGCAAGGGACCACCCAGCCAATGAGTTCTTTGAGCCCGGATTTTTGGCTGGGGTTTCACCAAACAACCATGCAGGAGTCTCTGATTTCTCGGTCGGAGGATTGTAAGTCACCTTGATTGGACTGTGTTCGTGTTGCCCACCCGATTTTTTTTTGGGGGAGGGTTGAGCATGTGTGGGTTGTGGGGTTTTTTATCGGGGATAGCAGGGGTCCATATCCACCAAAGTTGATGCTGGTGCCGAGAACCTGAGCCTGTGATTCTATGTGTCATCGGACATCGGCCGCTTCGGCGGCTCGGGTGAATCCGTTTTTGCCACGGGTTCTGTTGACCGCTGAAAAGGACACCTGGCCATGGTTCAAAACCAATGGGATCTCATTTTGGGAGAGGTGCACCACCAATGGTGCCATTTTGGTTGGTAGGTGAATTCACCACCCATTTCAGGACCTATTTTAGTGGTTGGATTGAATCGGATGTTCACTGGGGCTAACCGATTTGGGTGTTGACCCATGGCCACCTCCCTGACAGTTTCCCGCTCTGCATGAGACCGTCCCAAAGTCCCAAAGGCCTCCCTTGGATTAGGACTGGTCACACCCAGGAAGTGAAGGCCAGGACCCGATGACTGAGGGGACATATGAGACGACTTCGACCACTCGTTCAGAGTGATTGTGTTATTAGCTACATGTTTGTTTGTCTGTCTGCCTGCATGCCTGCCTGCCTGCCTGTCTGTCTGTTTGTCTGTCTGTCTGTCTGTCCGTCTGTCCGTCTGTCAGATCTGCTTCCATGCCACTTTTTCAAGCATTGGCCAAATGGAAATTGTGAGGAGGAAAGCGGCGTGGTGCGGCTTTGGCACTATTCCGTCGGGCGCTCGGAGGCTCGGAGCCAGGGGACGAGGCTGTTCAGCCGTTTCCGCGTGGGAGAAAGCTTCGGTTTCTGCTTGGTGTTTTTTCTCAAGCTGTTGCTCCCGCTGAAATGATGCAACACTCTTTTGGCGGGGGCCTGGGAAGGGCTGAACAGTGAATGTTTGTCCGACCATCTCGGGCAAGGAGAATCTCGTAGCTGGCTTTTGCTGGATGAGGAAATGGATGGCCATTTAGCCAAACGAGCAAACACCCAAATTGGAGGTTTCGAGGTTCCAAACAGCTCAACGCAGACAGTTGGTTCGCAGTCAGGAAGGTGAAGGACATGTCTGAGCCACTTGCGTTGCAACGAGGAAACTGAAGACTTGGTGCAGCTGATTTGAAGAACTTGGGTCCTGCTAGGGCGTCAGGCCACGCCGGACTCTCCCTTCCATTCTCCGCTGGGATTTTTCCCGGAACATCCAACCTGGAAGAAGCGCCTGGTTCTTTGGACGGCGTGCGTGTAGCGGAAGGCTCAGGCATCAAGGCAGACCAAGGCAGGTTAGACGTGTCCAACTTCGCAGGGGGGGAAGGTTCGCAACCTGAACCGAGGCTGGAACCCCCTGGAGAAAGTAAGATGACTCCATTGAGAGGAATCCACCTTTGACGCCTTAAAATTGGGTTCCACGTCAATTTGCACGGGAATAGTGCTTCCATCTTCCCTAGGGACCCTGAATCCCTCGAGCACCCCTCGGCTCGCCCTCGGCTTTGCACTCCATGGCTCCGGTTTTCAGGCGGTCGGTCCCGCGCATGTGACCCAGGCCCTTCGCAAGGATTGGCGCCTGCGAGAGGCCTGCGCCGTTCGCTTGGGATCCTCGCAAGAATCTTGGGGAAACGGCTTCTTGTTGGGGGGACATGTAAGCGAGCCGTGCAGCCATGCTACACAGTGGTTGATATCAACTCATTTTCCCTTCTTGTTTCAGTTCTTTTCCTACCACCGTGGGAAATCATGGCCTAGGGGTTCCCAACAAACGTGTTGAATGGGCAAAGCTGTTCAAAATCGTCATGACCGCGCATAGTTTGCGCAGAGTTGCCGTGTGACGCTGTCCTCCCAATTTCAACATGGTTGTGGGCCAAAACCAATGGTATCAGTTTGGGGTAGGTGCACCCATTTTAGGACCAATTTTAGTGGTTGGATTGAATCGGATGTTCACTGGGGGTACGATTTGGCTTTTGACCCATGGCCACATGACTTCAACCTCTAAAAAAATCGGATCTTTGGTCTTGCGCCAGTTTCCGAGCTCTTTTGTGGCGCCTTGCCCCAAAGGGCCTCCGCATGTCGCGGAGTCGGAGCCCGCAGGGCAGCGTCTTCCGCCTGGGCGGCTTTGCGGACGGCTCACACCGAAGGCGACGCACGGGAAATCTCTCGCCAGCTTCATTCGATGTGAAAGAGTGTTGGACCCTCTTGACACCGACCCCCCCCAAAAAAACAACCGAACAGTGAAACCAGTCAGCTGGACCCTCTTTCTACAATAGAGGTCACTTTGAACCCTTTTGCATGAGGGGTTCTTACGGATGAGGGGCCCTTTGCCGCCAGTGACCAGGGAATCTCCTGCGGTATGTGAACCACAATGTGGTGCACCCCATGTGCTCTCTTCCATTGATTTTGCGGGGAAACCCAAATGGGAAAACAACATGGAGCTATTCCACGGGACTCACCGAACTCCAGCTTTGTCGGCCACAAAGGGGGATGTGTGAGGACGTCTATGCGCCGCGGCCAAGATTTGTTACTGAGCTGAATGCAACTTGTTTCTTTGTTGTCCCCGATCGCCCTTGTCCACCAATCAGGCAGCATCGTGAGGGACTGATCCGATTTGCGCGCTCACCAGATGATAGGGTGCCACGTGATCTTGGAATGTAGGAGACCCTGAGTTTCCAGAGGCAGTTTGGTTGATACCCCATGTCAATCCGATGTGAAGACATACTGGCCGCTGCCTTTTGTGGTCCCGAAGAAGAGGATTTTCTTCTGGCCGGTTTCCCTCAGCTAGCTGAAGCCCTCCCACTTGCTTGCACATTGCGAGGTCTGCGGCAGAAGCTGAGGCGTGATGGGAATGTGTCCCACGCGCCTCATGGCCTCATGTGGTTCTTCTTCCCAAAACGAACCCGGTGAGCCTGGCTGTTCTGGGAACACAGGTCCTTTCCCTTTGAAATGAACCAGGTCGGTTTCGTCGAAGCACTTCGGGGCTTCCGTAGATTGTCAAGCGTTTGGGGGAACCTTTTTCCCTTCCATTTCTGGGGGTCTCCAGCGCTTTAATTGGAAGCGACTAGACACAGAATCTGAACATATTCTTGGCGTTCCCCAAATTTGGGCGAGTTGATCAGAGCAAGGGACGGTTTTGGGATGACGGTTTTGGGAGCCAAGACTCTGGGACAAAACCCAGCCACAGGAATCTCCGGTGCCCAAAGGGGTCCACCCAGACTTGAACGGGGGCCCTCTCCAAGGCCAGTTGTCGGTGGCCCTAAAAAGCAGCGCTGCAAGCGGGCGTTTGCTTGATCAACTGGTCCCTGGATTCGCATATTGGGAGGGCCCATGCATGGGTACTTGAGGTTAGGGCCGAGAACGGGAAGCAACTGGCAATAAGCCCCATGATGCCCCCCAGAGTTCGTGAATCAAAGCTGAAGCTCCCTTCGCAAGCTGTTTGCGTTGTTGTGCATGGCTGTGGTCAAACTGCCAGTCATTCCCAGTATGGGATGTGGGATCTTGAGCTCAATTGTTCCAATTGCGAGCTCTGCAAAACATGCATGATGCTAGGTAGTGGGGTCAAATTGCATCGAACGATTCGCACGCCCGTCTTTTTGGTTTTCACCCAGCACTTTCCAGAAAAAAGAACAACCACGCAGGTTGGATGGCTTTTTCCGCAACAGCCATCCAAAGGTTGGCAAATTAGAAGGAGCTCTGGGGACCTTCCTGGCTTGCACCCGGCTCCTTACTTGGGAATCCAGTGTTTGGCTTGTGAAATGGCTTCAGATCCCAAGGTCCCATGTTTGACGCAGGTGGAGTGGTGCTTTGAGATCCCAGGCCTCGCACCCGGATGCCATCCGAGTGGGAACTCACAATGCTGGGTCCCTGCCAGCTTCTTCTGGAACTCCTGGCCTTTTGTAGTTCAATGCTTGCATGCCCTGCAAGTCCTTCATTTGTTTGATGCTTTGTGAAGGTTTGGGTCCCACCCTGACTGAAAGATAACACACAGCAACTCGCGTGTTTTGACCCTTGTCCGGGTTTGCTTTACGAAACATATTCGCTTCTCCTGCCTGCCATTGACCCGTTTGCGATTGCCACCCGTGCACAGCAACGCAGTCATTTTGTGTGGCACAAACTTCAAGGATTCATCTTGGTAGCGCTGGGGTCATTGCTTTGACTGTTGCTGGGATTTGCTAAGCTCAGAAGCTAGGTTGTTTCACCTCAACCTATCACTTAGGGGTGATGTTGATAGTGGTACACGCATGTGGCCAGTAGAGACGAACGCCAAAAGGTTGTAAGACGTCTGTGGCAAGTCACGGTAAGAACGGTCTACGGTAGTTTCCAGCTTGCTTGACCGGTGAGAATTGCGATTTCTGCTTAAACAGCTAGCATTAACAGTTCACAGTGACGCCATAGTGTGTAAACTCTCAAGCGCAAGACATGGCAAGCAAGAGGTGTGAGTGTGTGTGTGTGTGTGCATATGCGGGTGCGGGTGCAGGTGCGGTTGCGGTTGCGGTTGCGGGTGCGTGTAAGTGTGCGTGTGCGTTTGCGCGTGTGCGTTTGCGCGTGCGCATGTGCGTGTGCGCATGTGCGCATGTGCGGGTGCTTTTGCGTGTGCGTGTGCGTGTGTGTGTGTGTGTGTGTGTGTGTGTGTGTGTGTGGGTGCGTGCGTGCGTGCGTGCGTGCGCGCGTGCGTGCGCGCGTGCGCGTGCGCGTGCGCGTGCGCGTGCGCGTGCGCACGTGCGCGGGCGTGCGTGTGCGTGTGCGTGTGTGCGTGTGTGTGCGTGTGTGCGTGTGTGCGTGTGTGCATGTGTGCGTGTGTGCGTGTGTGCGTGTGTGTGTGTGTGTGTGTGTGTGTGTGTGTGTGTGTGTGTGTGTGTGTGCGTGGGTGCGTGTGTGTGTGTGGGTGAGTGCGTGCGTGCGTGCGTGCGTGCGTGCGTGCGTGCGTGCGTGCGTGCGTGCGTGCGTGCGTGCGTGCGTGCGTGCGTGCGTGCGTGCGTGGGTGCGTGCGTGCGTGCGTGCGTGCGTGCGTGCGTGCGTGCGTGCGTGCGTGCGTGCGTGCGTGCGTGCGTGCGTGCGTGCGTGCGTGCGTGCGTGCGTGCGTGCGTGCGTGCGTGCGTGCGTGCGTGCGTGCGTGCGTGCGTGCGTGCGTGCGTGCGTGCGTGCGTGCGTGCGTGTGTGTGTGTGTGTGTGTGTGTGTGTGTGTGTGTGTGTGTGTGTGTGTGTGTGTGTGTGTGTTTGTGTGTGTGTGTGTGTGTGTTTGTGTGTGTGTTTGTTTGTGTGTGTGTGTGTGCGTGCGTGCGTGGCGCCTCCCGCAGAATTAGACAGACAAGGCACATCTTGAAATGCCTGGTGTTGTCATCTCCCGCTCGTTAAGCCGAACACGGATCATTGGTGCCTTCCTACAGAGGACGCCTCATTTTGATGCGCAGAATGACGATGTGCCGTGACTTGCAGATTCCATCATAGGATCGCATCGTTCTAGAGATGCTGTTGGAGAATGCCAGGAAGTGAAAAAAAAGAGCACATTTGGAAGACGTGATTTCCTGAAAGGCAAGAAGGGCTATTTCGCGGCTACTTACTGCATAAGAGCATGCGTTGGTCTCCATTTTTTTGTTTCGGGAACTTCCCAACCTCATCCAACCTTGCTTGGGTTCCCCTTTTTGCAACAAAGACACACCCGATGAGGTGTGTTCCTCCAGACATGTCAAATGCGGGACCTTACCCATGAGAGGTTCGCTCCGAACTTCCGTTTGGTGTGGGACATGGGGACACACCAAGGGGGACTCAGCATTTTCCCCATGTCCTGGGAAAACAAATCATGTTGACCGTTCATGAAGGATCCCCGCGGCACAAGCCGCTTTTTTTGGTTTGGCTCCAGGCACTTTCAGGTTTGGATTGGTGGTTGCACTTCAAGCCCTGGCCATAGAGGGGAAATGGGAAACCACTCTCTATCACCACCGGGCTCCAACCCAACAGTTAGAGGGAAGCTGACGCTTCCCGCTTTAAGGGCCGAAAGGCCCGTCGATGCTCCAGGTGGGAAACAAGTGCCCTTGCTCTACTTGGACCCCGAGCTCACCGGCGACGGAGGCGGACACTTCTCTGAAGCGGACACAATGGGGGGGGGGTCCATATCCCATGTGGAGAGAAACAAAAATCTTACCCGGCCAAGTGAACAGGATCCACCGTTTTCCAATACAGGTTGCTCTGCGAGAAATTGATCATTTGAAGGGCGATTTGTTCAAAGAGTTTCGAATGGACGATGGGAGGCAATCCTTTGTTGATTCACTCAAGAACCATCATGTACCCATTAAATGCCTACATAAAAACGAGACCGCTAAAACTCCTTTAGACACGCCCAGGGTCCGCTCAACTGGATTTGTGCAATGTCCGGCTGCATCCGCGTGGCTTTTTGAGGGATCCGAGGGCTGGCAAATTGCCGTTTGTTTGCTCTATTCAAAGGACAAAGGTACAGATGGTATTTTTTGTGATAGGCGATGGCGAACCTAATCGAGCTCACCTGTGACGCATATCCGTTGATTTTCGCAGCTCGGATTGCTAGATCTATGATGGATCGGAAGCACGGGCGGTTGCTTTTTCTCATATGACACAGGACCACGTTTCGCCTTCATGTGCCGGCCGGACCAACTTCTCTCACAGAGTTTTGTGTGCCCCGTGGAGGGTCGCATTTTCGCAAATGTTTCCAGGCTTAGGCTTAGTGGACACCAAACCACTATCCCAGGGGTTCACAGAGCCACCATGGAGTTACCAATTCTTGGTGGCTGCCAGCCATCCCCGCAGCTTTTTAGCCTTTTAGTGTTTAGTGATAGTTTCCATTTAGCCCACTAAACGTGAAAAACTTTTAGCGGGCGATCTGAGGGCAGCCAAATTATATCAAAGGCATTTCTTCCGATTTCCCTGGAGTCAGCCCCCAGCCCCCAGCGAAAAACGCGCGCAGTCCCGCGCTTCGTGTTGCAGCCCTACACGCTGGTGGTGGTGCGGCAGCTGGAGCTAGGCGCGGAGTCTACGGTACCCTCAGCCCCTTGTTTATTATCTAGATGTACAAGGCGCATACATATGGCTGTGGTTGTCAAAACCAATGGGTCTCATTTTGGGGTAGGTGAATTCACCACCCATTTTGGAACCTATTTTAGTGGGGATTGGGATGTTCACTGCGGGTACGGGATTTTTGATCCATGGCCATATATGTATACAAGTATGTTTGCATCTGTTGAACAAAAACTATGTGATGCAACTGTATACACGGTTTCTATGTACAGGTACTTATTGGTGAACGTGCCGCGGTTCTTGAGGTGGATGTGAAGAGAACGTACGGAGAGAAGGTGTAGGCAGTGCGGAACAGAAGGAGTCGCAGCAACTTCGGGAAAGCGGCCAACGCCTTGCTATGTTCCTCTGGCGACATGTAAGCGAGGGTCCCTGGGTGCAGAGATAACCTGCCCCAGTTGTTCAGTGGCACCTCTAAATCCTTTTTCTGGTGGGTGCGGGACCCACGAGAAATGCCAACCGATTCCCTTTTTCCATAAGAGTCGACCATTGATTCGTGGGTTCCTTTGCACGAGCGGCCAGAAAGCGCTTGACGAAACCTCGCGAGCGGCTGCGGGTCTTTTCAGCAGAAGACATCAGGCTTCCCCAGCCGCATCTTACGCTTCTTACTCAGCTTGCATAAGCCCAAGGTGCTGAGGCAAAGAAGTGGCGGGCCAAACGCAGAGATCTTCACCTTTCAAAGCTTTTGGTGCGTCTTCTCAAGATGGGTATGTTGCTGCAAGACCTTTGAATACACCATGCAACGCCGATTTGCTGGGGAAATCCTCCATTTCTTGTCGTTCAAAGGGAAGCCAAAAGGGAAAGCACCACTTTTTGGATGCCCACAATTTTGGGACAAGCTCACGTCTCATCTGAAGAACCCGAAATTCATTACTACTGGAAAGTGTCGAGGTAGGCGATTGAATCACGGACCAGGAGTTGTTGCCACCTTCAAGATTTTCTCAATCCGACAGGCTCAGAAGGACCTCGCACCGTCTGGCTCGGCTTTCCAGGAGAAGGGGGGGGGGAGCTGGGAGCTGACCGGGCACTGGTCTCACCGGTCCAAGTCAACCGGCGCAACTTATGTGATTTCACCATTTCCATTTGTTTTGAACGATTTGGTTGCACCATGTTGGCTGTTTCGGAAATTGGCAACGGCAACTCCGCCAGTTTCCAGGATTTTTTGGACAAGTGAGCGGCTGAAATTTCATCGTTGGACCGAAACATGTGCGGACGCCAGAAACATGTGCGGACGCCACTTTTGACTGCTTCCGCATCCAAATCTGTGGAGACACGGCTCAGACAAGTCACATCTTCGTCGCTGAACTGCCCTTGGCGTTTTTTTTTCGTTGTTTTTCTTTTTGAGGTTGGGTTCCGTTCATTGTTTGCGGGGTGCCGTCGTTACTCCTTCTCCAGTTCCCTTGGTCGCCTGGCTGCATGTTAACGGCGAGCCACCCTGCGCGTGAGTGGGCTTGGCTCAAGATGACTTAGTTGGATGCAAGCAGTGAGGGAACAAAACGAGACTGCTTTTCATTGCAGCGTTGTGCTTACATTGTCAGACATAAGCCGATGTCGGGAAATCGGGGACTTTACAACACCAAATCCGTTTCGACCCATACAGCCAGGGTAGGGTCAAAACACCCAGGTATTTCGGGTAGTTAGGGGTCATGGTCGTTTCAGCAGAGATTTGGGCCAACTGCGCCAAGGGTTGCGGGTGTGACGGTATGACGCTCACCGAGCGTTCACCATGTGCCATTGAGCCCTTGGTGCAAGGAGAGCTCGGGCAGACGTGGGAGGCCCCCATCGGCCCGTAGCTATGATGCTCGCGCGCACGGGTAGGTGCTTGTTAGGTGACCATGCAAAACACATGTTCGTATTCTGGAACACGCCGCAATTGCCTTCCTTTAGAAGAGACACGTGGAACTCGATTTCCTTGCCAGCAGGAGATTGTATGCTGATGTGTCAAAGCTACTTGGACGCCTTCGAATGATTGGTTTCACGCTTCCCTTTCAACATCGTCGCATCGTCGCCGAGCAAGCACACCTGGTTTCGGTAGCCATGTGAATCATATTCGCCGGATCTTGCAAGCGAAGGCATCCGCGCGGCACCGCGAGTCTCGTTAATGTTCACAAGGCAGGCGCGCCCAAAACGGGCGCCGCTGGCCCAGGACTTCACGAGTGGGAGCGACTTGGGTTCCTCCTGCGGCAAAGCACCGCCCCCAAAGAAGCCGACAAAGTGGCAAAAGGAGACGTTTTGGGCAGATGTGAAGGTTGGTTGGACTTGTTGGATGGTCTGCTGGTGAAGGTTTGGGAAGTTCACATGTTGAAAGGGTGCTGGGAATCTCCCTTCTTGCCTGGCGTGGTATGGGTCTGGCAACCATGGGTATCCATCAAATCAGGGATCGAGCTCTTTTGGTGTGTTCCAAGGGAAGCCAAGGCAAACCACCCCGCAAGCTCCAAATTTGAACGTCCCAATGCGGAAAGCCAAGCTGATCCCTGCTCACCTTGTTGGGCCGTAGGGTGTTGGTGGTTTAGAGGGAAACACATGTAAACCCCACCATTTGGAGGGGTATGTTACGCAATACGCAGCACCCCAGCAGTCAAGTGCCTAAAAGCCAAAGGGGCAGCATGTGATGTCAACATGTTCTTCCTGGAGTAGGGAGAAGGAACTCCTGAGTTGTTCTTTTTGCACCCCCTGTCTACCAGCCACCAGTCTGCCAGTGGCTGTCCCTGGAACATCCAGGTCACCGGCTGGGCCACAATCAAAACCCCCGGTCGTTGGAGGGCAGACGGAGAAAACAGCCCCTTCTGACCCCGCGCAGCCGTGTTCCTGCTGTGCTACCCGGAGCAGCCGGTCCTCTCCGTGAAGAAGAAGATCAGCGAGATCTTCAAGAGACGCTCGCCTCCACTGGCCGAATGTTCCCATAGGCGTCCTTTATGGTGGTTTTGCTAGAAAAACAGATGGCACTTCCTGGTTTTTACCTGGTGGTTTAATCATCCACCAGGGAAACCCATCTAAGTTCCCCTAAAAGGACACCTCTATTTCCCATTCTTTCCGGGGAAGTTGATGTGGCTGTGGTTGTCAAAATTGTTTCGGGATCCCATTTTTGGTTGGTAGGTGAATTCACCACCCATTTTAGAACCAATTTTAGTGGGATTTGGGACGTTCACTGGGGGTACTGGGTTTTGACCCATGGCTGGTTAAAAGGAAGTGGGGGACCGGTCGAGACATCACTGCCCAGCGAGCTTGGCATTTGTTGCGAGAGGGCAGGAAGTTTTTTTTTTTTTTTTTTTTTTGCGAGGGTTTGCGAGGGCTGATGTGCTTGTGTGGGTCGTTTCACCACAACTGGTCCGAGGATATGGCCAACTGACCATGAATTTGCCCACAAATAGGGGATCTGATTGTTTAAACATCCAAACAGGGCCCCAATCGTTCGACATCCAAATTAGTTGTATTATCTCGTCAGTTTGGGGAGGACGAGCAGGGTGCAGGGGGGTGCATTTGAAAGGAGGGGGCGCAGTGCACACCCTTTCCCCCTGTCCTCTGAGGCAAGAAAGATTAAGGAGCGTATGTTCGGGGTAACATCCACTTCAGATTCATTTGGAGGACCCAATTCTAAAAGTGGAACCTCTGCAAAATCTGGCAAGTTACTTTGAAGAGGGACAGATCCTCACTCAGGCTGTTAGGCAATCCTTCTTTTGGATTAAAGGGGTGAGGATTGGGAACGGCCCAAGTGTCTCACTCTCAATGGGTGTCTCGTGCAAGGAGATGTCAGCACCTTCCGACTCCTCTACAAGGACTTCCTCAGATGAAAAAGGGGGTCGGTTCTGCAAGAGGGTGGAACCCACGAACGAAAGGAAGACACACACACACACACAGAAGGGCAACGCTGCCATTTGTTCTTGCTGTTGGTTGTTCTGGGCAAGTATGGCGGTGCTGAGCAAGCAACTTTTGGATGTGGTCACAAAAATTAGCTTGTTCCCGTGCCAAATTAAGTCAGCGGACATGGGTATCCTGATTCCTGAGCCCGAGTCCAGTTGCGTGGTGTCACTGGCCTCGACATTGCCAACTCGGGGGAGTCCAACATGCAAGCCGTTGCGTTTGGCGTTTGAAGGGAAATCGAAAGGGCGCTGTTTCATTTTGAGGTGCCCAAGTCTTTTGGAACGCGTGGCACCCCTAGGACATGATCTTGGATGATGAGGCCGCGGGAGTGCACTCGAGCGCGGGATGGGACTGTGCCTTGGGCATCCAAAACGTTTGTGCCAAGGGAGTGGGCTTGTGACCAAAACACGGGCCCCTTGGAACCATATGGCACGGTATGGCTAATTGCCTAAAAAACGGTTCTAGCTTGTATTTAAGATCGTCACTGAAAAACTCCGAGCCTCTCCGAAGCCTGAGCAGAGACCCCAAAGCCGCCAGCTGCTCTGGCAAAACTCAATGTACCCCCCGCCGAAATTAAAAATTACGTCCAATATTTTTGGGTGCTTGAGAATAAGGCTTTTTAAGACACGTGATTTTGCAAGCCGCACGCAAAATGGCCCATGCATATTTTGAGCCGTTCGTTTCCAAGTGCAGGCTCGGGCCAAGTCGAACTCAGCATCGACAATTACCGCAGCGACCAGGAATGCTCCCTCCACCAAAGTCTCCAAGCAACCAAATATTAAAATTTTGCGCGGTGAACCCTGGTACCGTGGCACGGCTGCCACAGGGCAACTATGGGTCATCTTTTGCAAATACTGCACTGCAGATTAATTCCTTATTCTCTGTCCGCAACCAGCTCCTTATTCTCAAGGAGCGTCCGCAATTAATTCCATTCTCAAGGAGCGTCCGTCCTTATTCTCAACCAGAGTTTGCAATTAGTTCATGATTTTCAAGGAGCGTCCGCAATTAATTCCTTTTTCCCGAGGAGTGTCCGCCATGAATTCCGTATTTCCAAGAAGCGTCCGTAATTTATTCCTTATTCTCCAGGAGCGCCCGCGATAATTCCCTATCCTCAAGGAACGTTCGCAATTAATTCCTTGTTCTCAAGAAGCATCCGCAATTACTTCCTTACTCTCAAGGAGCTGCAATGGATTCCTTATTCTCAAGCACCGTCAGCAAATAATGCCTTTTTCTCAAGAAGCGTCGACCGCCTTTTTGTCGAGGAGCGTCGACCGCAACCACTTCCTCATTCTCAAGAAGCCTCCGCAATTCATTCCAAATTCTCAAAGACCGGGTTGATTCCGCAATCTTTTCAACCATCGTTCTTTTTAGAACCCAGCTGTTTTTGGGAGCGTCCCCAAGTAATTCCTTTTTCTGAAGGAGCGTCTGCAATTGGTTCCTTGATCTCAAGGAGTGTTCGCAAGTAATCTCCTATTCTCAAGGAGCGTCCGCGATTAATTCCTTATTCTAGGCCAGCCGGACCGATTTCAATCTTTACGCCATCAACACTAACCTTGCGCACTGGCAAAGCTGTTTGTGCGAGGAAGTTACGAGCAAAAATATTGCTTTGCAAGTGAATTTCTTATGTGCAAGCAACAATCCTTTTTCGCAGAATAACCGGGGACAGAATGTCCCCCAGTTTTCGGTTCAAAACCAGGAATTTCGGCTTCTTTTTTTGAAAAGTGGGGGACACAAAAAAGCAAACTCCTTAATTACAAGCACCTGCTTGTAATTAAGGAACTTTGTGCTTGTCATGAAGAAATCGTGCGTAGCAAAAACCCTTAATTACAAGCACTTGCTTGTAATTAATAATTTTGTGTGTCATTAAGGATGCTTTTCTGCAAAGAAGGATTTTTGCTTGCGAATTACAAGATGCTTGCTTGTCAAAAATCCTTAATTACAAACACCTGCGTGTATTCAGGGAACTTTGTGCTTGTCATGAAGGAATTTTGCGTGGCAAAAACCCTTGATTACAAGCACTTGCTTGTCATTAAATAATTTTGCTTGTCATGAAGGAATTATGCTTGTCAAAATCCTGAATTACAAGCACCTACTTATAATTTCAGGATTTTTGCTTGTCATTAAGGATTTGTGCTTGTCATTCAGGATTCTTGCTCGTCAAACAACTTATTTACAAGCACCTGCTTGTACTTAAGGATTTGTGCTCGTCACTCAGGATTTTTGCTTGTCATTTTTTTTTGTTTTTTTTTTTTTTTTCTGCGAGAAAGGAATTTGCTTGCGAAGAAGGATTGTGCATTTTTCCTGTAAATAAAGGTTCTTGCCTATCGGATTCGTGTAACTGCTTTACCAGTGCGAAAGGCTAGCGTCCATGGCCTAGAGATTGAAGTTGGTCCGGCTGGCTCAGAATAAGGAAGTAATTGCGGACGCTCCTTGAGAATAGGAAATTACTTGCGAACACCTTGAGAATAAGGATTCCGGGGTGGTTTGTGTCCCCTACGGCGCCCCCCAAGCCTGAGTTTCGAGGAAGCAACTATTAACAAAGACCCTCCAATTCACACCTATGCCTAAACGGACTAGGGTTGCAAAACACCGGAACCCACAAATCTTATTCGCAACCACCGCTTCTTATTCGCAGGGTTTATGCAATTTGCCAGTACGGTATGGGTCAAAATGAAACCAGGGGGCCGCAGGTTTTTGTCCATGTCTCCATTTACCGGGGTTCCATTTGGCTACCTATTTTTGACCCACTGCCATTTTTTTCGGGTGTCTTTGGCTTTTGGCTTTGACGCTCAACGCCGATATTGCGTTTGGGCGACTCGGAAGCGCGGCGAGCCGAAATTCCAAGTCGGAGCCTGTCAGGTGTCACCCTGTTCCAGCTGTAGAGTCTCCCTTCAAACTTCAAATCGGGTCTTTTCACCAAGGCTACGTCAATCCCACAAACATCAGATTGAGGGCATGGCCAGGAGCTTCAGGGACATTTGTGGGAGAACACACCAAGTCTAGTTCTTCAGATGAAGGTAAAAGGATTGTGTTGCACC